CATCAAGACCTTTAAGAAGTGTGCAGAAACGAGGAATGCCGTTGCATATTCAAGGAGCGGGCGGGCGAGCGAGTGAAATCTGGCCGAACCAGCCACGATCACGTGGTATTCGATGCACGATCAAGACGTGCCATTGTTTCGTCATTACGTTGCCGCGGAACAGTCCAAGAGATAAGCTTTAACCCCAAGTCGTACCTGATGATTCTGCACCCGGTCAAGCCGGAATTATAATTCCAACCAAGTGCACGGGTTTCCACTCGCAAGAGCATCGAACAACGATTACAGACGTTTCCATCTTCGCCGTGAATTTTTCCTTTCTCGATATATATTTTACAATCGTGAGACTGTATTCGTGAATGCTGATGGAATTCGAAAAAGTAGTGGATGGAAAGAGTAAATCGTTTCGAATCGATCGATATCGATCGTATTGATTCGTAATTCCATCATGAAAATTGAAGGATAATCACGTGCAAAGATCAAAAAAAAAAAAAAAAACAAAATTCGACAGCGAGATTCGTTGCTCTCGAATCGTTAATTCCAAGAGGGATACGCCTATAAAGATCGTTTCTTAAACACCGCGTGCGTAAACGAAAAATAAAGCGAACGAAACAAGAGTCAATGGTACGGTGGTACAATAATGTTTTGGGAGGCAGGTTGGAAAAAAAGAAACGAGGCAGCCGAAAAGGACGCGGATGAAAGAGAACGGAGACGTATAGGTGGAAGATGAATTCCGATGGAAAGAAAAAGGAAGGGGAGAGAGAGAGAAAAAAGAAAGATAGGAAAGAGGGATGGATGGAGAAAAGAAGGCTGGACAGAGGGGTCCACTGTTGGGGGAGAAAGAGAGACGATGGAAACGAGAGTAGCGAACAGGGGAACAGGTTGAGGTCAGGTCACTTAGGTATCTTAGGTCTCTGGTCTTTCGGACGTCTTTCTGGTCTCCTTTGGAATTCGTCGAACACGCGAGGGATATTAAAACGAGTCGAGTAATTCCCTCCGGAATTCTTTGCCGGTCTAATTAAACTTTATTATTGTCGATCGATAAGAGGGACAAATAAAAAACGTCACTGGGCAATGGTAGCCCGTCAACATGGGAGGCGAGCAGTGTTTTATCTAACGTTGTCGACGAAGCATTATTTAAAAAAAGAAAAAAAAATAGAAAAATTGTTCGAAATTGTGACGGAGAGAAAAAGATACGCTGACGTAAAAGAGAATTAAACGAATTGGAACGGAGAAAGATTCGAAGAGAAACAAAGGAGAAGAAAAGGATTAGATTGGTCGTAATAAGGAACAAGAATGGAAGAAACAAGATCTATTGAAATGGGAAAAAGAGAGAGATAGATTTGTTGCTCGGAGGATAAAAGGGAGAAAACGAGAAGGAAGAAGAGGGTATAGAGATGGATGCATTGGAAAGGATTGGGCCGAGAGAAAGGGGACCGCAGGAGAAGAGAATCGTAGAGGTGAGGCCCTCCCCTCCCCTTTAACCGAGATAACTGAGGACACTCCAAGAGCCTCCGTGGGACTCTGGTGTGCTGCGAGTTTCTTCCTTCTCTTCTCTCTCACGGATACGAAATCAAGAGAATCTAGGACTCGGCGTGTATACGCGGTATCTATATATATACATATATGTACGTATTATATATATTATATATGTGTATACATATAACTGACTATGGTCGAGAGGCATAGGTTTCGTCGTGCACGAAGCATGCTCCTCTCGTTCTTCCTCGTGCACCACGTTTTCTATAAGGGTGCCGTGCCCAGTTGCATCATTGTGCGATACAAGCTAGGCGGTACAGGTTGTTTCATCTGTACTTTAAACGAGGCGCCTTGTTCTCTCTAACGATTTGTGTACCTTTCATCATTGCACGTTCTGTTTATGTTCTACACGCTTTCTATAATAGTTCATTGTTCGTAACGTGGAATGATATCGAGGATGGATATTGCCTAAACGGTGTAAGTGAAGGGGACAATAAAAGTTGATCTTTTTAACGATAAGGATAGAATCGATTGGTTAAATCGGTTGAAATCAAGTTACCCCGATCGAATAATTAACTCAACTCAAATTTGCTTTCATACAATTTGACCCGAAGATCAATAATTTGATCCCAAGTCATTCGGCGGCTTCTTTGATTTTTCTTTGATTCGAGAGATTCAGATTTTTTGATTGATAATTCTTAATAAATCGTTGTATACGCGTGAAACAAGAAAGAAAATCGTGTTTACAAATATTTGAGGAATTCTGATACTCATTACGTAAGAGTCATAGTGTTCTTCCCTTCAAACAAACGCCGTTCGATCTGTGAGAATGGTAACAGTTCCCCGCGAGCTCTAGAGAAACAATTTACGAGTGGAACCCTCTGAACAAATACATCGAGTAATCCAACGAGCCCTGCTGTTATTTCAGGTACACTCCGACCCTGAATGACCATATTTTTTTCTCCGATCGATCGGATTAACGTGAGGCGTGTATTTGAAAAGGATTTTCGCGAGCAACGTTTTACGAGAACAACAAATCTTTCTTTTGCTTTTTCTTATGTTATCGTTGAAATTTTTTTTAATCCCTTTATATTCTTTTCTTTGTTTAAAGTTTTCTTCGATTACAAAAGTTTCTTTCTTTCTTTTTATAAGATATTCCTCTTCCCAGTGGCAATAAAGTAAAACAAAAAGAAAAGGATGGTTGGACGATTAAAGAGTTAGCATTATCAACGATAAAACGGTGGCCTGCTTTCATTAACGACGCGCGCAACACCTTTTCGATGCAACTGCAAAACGAAAGAAAGTAAAAAGGACGACGAGGAGCCTATACGCGGCCGACCTCGTTCCTCCGCTATCCTTCCTCATATTCTCCAGTGAAATTGCCCAGGGTAGCCGACGGAAGGCCGAACTATAGACTTTTTGAGGTTAACCGCATCGCAGTACGGCTTTTAATGGTCAAAGCCACGAAAGCTGCTCGTATTTTAAGTCCCCGCTCATCGTGATCCCAAGCGAAATTCTTTCATCGTCGATTAACTTCAAAACGAAATACCGGGCAACCGCTAACGAACCTGTGTAATTACGAATTTCTTTCAGACTCTAGAAGAAGAAGAAGAAGAAGAAGAAAAAGAAGAAGGAGAAGGAGAAGAAGAAGGAGAAAGAGAAGGAGAAGAAGAAGAAGAAAAAAAAACACATTCCAACCATCGACCAGAGCGTTTCCAGAAATGATTACAGCAAATTCACCGTTCTCAAAGGGGTGGTCCAACGACCCAGGCTTCGACGAGGCGACACCCCCCGCCGCGTATGTTTTTTACCCCGTGTATGTCCATTCGCGAGAAACATGGTAGGAAAAACGGTCGTAGTTCGAGTATTGATCAAAAGTCGACTGGTACTCGAGCGTTGTATCAACGGTAATTGAATTTCAACGTTGCACGCTGTCAATCAATTATATTTGAAAGGGGAAAAATCGAAGGTAGAAGGGGGGGAACGAAAATAAAAAAAAAAAGAGAGAGAAAAAAAGGAAAAAAAGTGCCGAGACATTCGCTAAATATGTAATCCGACGAACGCGGTCGCGCAAACAGCGCATACTATTTGACGTCAATCATTTTGAAAGTAATTGCACCGTTAACAAAAATATAAATTCTGCCATATTCGTTTCAACGTTGAATTTCGTTTCCTCCATTAAAAAACAGGAAAAAGGAGGAGAGAGGTGAAGAGGGAAAAACGATTGAATAAAAATTCAATCGGCTCTGAAGAGTTTTCCCGTAAAAAACGTTCCCTCACGCGAAGGAATAATTGAATCGAACCATACGTTAAACGAATATCATATATAAATAAATCAGGTAACCAAAATCGACTAACTAGCACACGAGCTTAATTCAAGATTCCTCCAAAGTTGTGGTGCATGCATTAAATTAACCGCATAATTCTCGCAAAGCTTATGAACGCTGAAAATGATCACCTTAAGTAATGATACGTGTTCATGCGCTATAAAATCGCGATACTTGTGCTAAACCGTGTGTGACTAAGCATATCTTATAGAACTCCCTATAACGAGAATACACGATTATACTACGGAATATTATTCGCAATAATAGGAAAATTTTGTAA